CTTCTGACATTTTTTTCCAGGTACCTAATGCCATTCTGCACGGTCAAACTTCCATTCACTGTACAACTCTCACTCCTGAGCAATAAAACGTGTGAGATTGTTTAAAAGCTGTATCAGGGCTGTGAGACATCAGGTTTTTCAGGAAGCAGTATCAAATCAGGCGCTTTAGGCCAGTTCGCAGTGTCTACATTCCTGTCTAAGTTTTAAAATAGCTTTAGGTCTCATACCTAATGTTGTGCATACCTGACTGATTTTACAGGCAGCAGATGAAGTCAGAACTTCTGCTTAAGTGTATTTGCCAGATTCATGAATGTGACCCTAAAATATGCCTTCAGAAAGGTGTTTTGAGGAGCAGGTTATCCTCAAGATGTCTTATTGCTGTACTTCCTCTTTGGAAGATTAGTTTCTGGCTTTCTGATTTCCAGCGGTTCTTCAGTTGAACACGTGAGTTGAAATGCACTTAAGGTGAAAATCTCCTGCGTTTTACACCTAGGGTTAAGTTCTGACCTTAAAAGGGGAACATTCAGATGTTTTAATAGAACACTTGGCCTTAACTGGCATTAGAAGAGAATGATCTTATGTCAAGTGTAAGAGCCCAGCTGCAGATGTAACCGGATGCAGTCAGTTTCTAAACTGAACAGGGGACGTCAGATAGACTCTCAGAGCCCCCGGACATTTTACACTTTCAAAACTAGTTCAGTTTGGAGAATAAAAATGTCATCATTTGAAGTTCTTGGAATGCTTTTTGTATAAACCTTTTTTTGTAGTGATGTATCCTTTTAAAGGCTTAGGAAAGTGGGCAGCTTTATTTAAAAAAATGGCTCTGTCTGCTATGAAGAAGGACTGCACCTTCATGGCAGCTACACAGAAAGTCCCTTCAATTACACTTTTTAATAATAATATCACTTTATTAACCCTTTACAATTTCTTGCATTAGGAATGATCTTTTCGCATACCCCAGCTTGCTCTCCATGAGACACACTTTCTGCAAGGAGGTGTGCATTCTCTGTGCAAAGGAAGAGGATTAAAGTACATGAGAACTTTATTCAGTCACTTGTGTAGAAATGTACCTAGATTGCCATTTTAGAAGAGGGAGGGTAGAAATGAATTTCCTCCCTGTCACAGGGGTTAATTGATATTAAATTTGCTTTACAAGATGGTCTGATGAAAACCCCCCATGGTGCCAGTGCAGTAACACTGCCCTTGAAACCACTAGTAAGTCATGCTGGCTCAGCACTGAGCTCTGAGGTGGGGTGTGTCTGCTTCAGGAAATGCTCACCCTCTGTGGGTGGAGATAAGTGTCCTTCTCGTCTCTGTGGTATGCAAGAGCCTGTTCCAGGGTGCTGAGCCCAAGCCAGCCTGACCAGTTTGGTTTCTGGTTTGCTTCAACCTTCATCACTGGGATACTTCAAGGGAAAGAGTTCCTTGTTCTTCCTGTCATCAGTCTGTGTAATTGTATATTATGTCTGATCTGGGAACGAGAACAAAAACTAAACTTCTGCTCACGCAAGGAGGTTTCAGGTTGCCATCCACACAGTTTGAATTTTAGGTGTGCAAGAACAATTTTAGTTTCTTAACATGATTCTGTATGAAAACGGTTTAAAATTGCACTCTTATTGTCCCTATTAATATTTAATGGGTCATTACAAGTAATCAAAGACATGTAAATGTTGGTGTACTGATTCACATTTATATCCAGATGATTTACATTTGTTACATTCATGTAGTGTATGTCCAGACCAGTGAAGAGGTTGTTTCAATTACTCCAGAGGGCACAGTTAATTCCCAACATTGGAATTAACAGCAGGTTTTATAACTGAGCATCCATGAATTATTCAAGGTTGAAAGTATATAAGACTTTTGCAAAATGTGTATTTCTTGTTAGGAATCGGTTGGGAGGAATTCTTTGTCTTCAGGAGGATCTTCATTGTTGGTCTGGGTGCTACTGTCTGTCCTTAAACTACAGGAAAGAGAAAAGGAAGTAATATCCCTTTGCACAATAAGTAAATTCTTACAGCAGGTTGTTGGCTTTCTAGTTATTAGTCAGTGGAGAAAGGGGGCAGGAGAGGAAGTAGCACTGTTGTGGTTTGACCAAGTCTGAACTCTTCCCTGATACAGCAGACCATGTTGAAGAACCACCCTGCTCATCTCTGTCATCCGCTGTACTTCTCCGTGTCTACAGCGCCGCTGGGTTGTCTGTACCCCCCGGGCAGAGAGCTACATGGGTCCAGTTGGTTGAATAGTGGGCTCATGCTGCCTTATGCTGAGTGCAGCCAGGAGCAGAACCAGCAGAGCTGAGAAAAGAGGATTCTGAAGTGCAAACTGTTTTTATTGAATGCTGGTTGCAAAAAATGATTTTGTCTCTCTCAGTGGAGAAAATACCGCATCATACATCCTAAACATTTCCCCAGCAGTCAAAGTTAGAACAACAGGAGATGGCCAGATGCAGCTCCAAATGATGATTTTTTTTTTTCCTCTTGCCATATTTGTAGCCCTTGCCTGTTGGCCTGTGTTTATTGGGGGGACAGAAAGGAAGGAGCCTCCAAATATAGTGGATTTGCTTGTTCTTTCTGTTTGGCTGTGCATCCAGAAACCTTTTTCTGCCAGGAAATGTTTCAGTGTGACTATGCGTCTGAGCTTGAAGGCTAATTTAAACCATCATTGTAATCCCTTTCCTTTTGCATGTCTCCTGAATTAAAAGTAGCAGGGCTGTTTCTTCAATGAAGATGCAAACTTTCCATAACACACTAAGGTGGTGAAAGGAGTGGAGCTCTCCAGGCTGTGCTTGGCGCTCTGCTTTATACCGAACACCTGGGGACTTCTTCACCTGCAGCAGGACTTAACAGAATACAATCCAGAAAGAGTTCTATTTAAAGGCTATGTTTTATGCATCTAACCAATTTGACAGATGGGCCTCAAACTTATGATCAGGAGATTAAATGCCCTCAGACAAGTTTTTTTTAGTGTACTCTTTGACATGATAATTAAATATGAATCAAAATGGAAAGCCATAGATCGCTTGAGTTCAGAAATCCTGCAGGGTCAAAGGTTTCTTTGTTTTGTTTCCTTTGAAAACATGGAAGCATACATGTCATCATACAGGGAAGAAGCATATCAACACCTGCTTTATATATCCTATAGGAGGCATTCTTGTTTTTGCTTAATAAGAATGTTCAAACCTTTCTCTTCCTGTACATATAATTTTATTGAACAGCAAAAGAAGAAAAATGCTCTCTCCTTATAATAAGAGACTTTCTCGTAAGAAACATTTAAGGTGTCTCTGTGTTTTTTAAGATTACAGTTATGAATATCAAATACCTATTGAGGTATTGCCATTATCCAAGGTAACTAACAAAGGATACAGTAATACATTAAGTGCTCAGTGCAAGAGAAAAGTGTTGTATGATTAAAACTGCCTTTTGTAGGTCAATTTTAGGTAGTGTCCTTGTTTTCTTTAACAAGTGGGAATCACGTGATTTCACAAGGAAGATCAAGGAAGCATTTTTTTCACATTGTGCTTAAACCTTGAACTGTATATCCCAACTGGAATATTGGAAATAATCACACATGCAGTCAAAACTGATGTAAAAAACTTATTGGGATCGTTTTGGCATTCTAATGTGTTTTCACTATGCCTTTGTTCCATAGTTTCTATTCTCATTCGACTTGGGCGCCAGCCATCACTTTTAGTGTGCAGAATAATGTTTTATTTGGAATTGTTTCAACTCTGTTTTCTGAAATGAAGTCAGTAAAGCTGGCCTGTAAATATTTTGGAAGCTCTACATTGCAGAAAGTTTTGTTTTGTATCAGAATTTGTATTAAAATGTCTTTTTTTTTTACGAGAAAACAGTACATGGCTTTGATTTGGGTAGGTGTTGCCTTTGGGGTGGAGAATGTGGACACGGTCCATCTCAATGTTTATGTTACAGCATGTGCATTGCTATAGTAGAATTCTAATTATTTGATTAATCTGAGTAATTAAATGTACCTTGTGCTATATGGTAACATGTTTATATCCATTTCTCTAAAAGAGACAGTGACAGACACATACAGTTGATATGTATGCAACATACTGACCCTATGGCTGTAACTGTACAGTATATAGCTCAGATTAGTCTGTAGACATGTCGCATATCTGTGGGGGCTGAACAGGGTACATTGATCTTGCAACTGACCTTTATGCAATAAATGTTACAAAATTCAAACTGACAAGGGAGATTGGGGGGTGGGGCAGAAGTGTTGTTGGTTAATCTGGTATTAGCCCACTTCCCTTTGAAAGGAGCACATTCCATTGAATTTGTAATTCAGGGAAATTAATCATTTTCCGAGCACAGTTAAAGAACTTTGTGAAAAGCCAAGGAATTGCTGTACTACAGGGATGGGTGGTGGATTTTTCAAAGCTCAGCAGCAACTTTGAACACTTGTGCTTTTTCTTTTAAAACCACACACGCACACACACACACACACTTTTAGATTTACTAGACGCGCTGCAGTGTGTCTGACCTACTGATTTTTCCCCCATTTATCAAATATGTTTGCAGGTTAGCGGTTGTTGGTCAAGGATGACAATGGTTTCTGAATCCTCATCTTGGCCAACCACAGTGGTCTGTATTTTCGTCAAAGTCAGCCTGTTATATGTTATATTGGAGCACATGCTAGTCACAAACTACAAAAACCCATTAGGTTAAATGAATGAATCAAGACTAGTTCACATTATGCATCATGCGAAAATGATGAGTGTGATTGCTTTGAAGCATTTTGTATGATATATATCCCTGTGTATACAATTTCCTGTTTTTAATCCAATCATCAAATGTGGCTCTAGCTACCATCTGCTGAAAGTTGGTCCAAAGTGTGATTATATTTCAGGCCTGATTATTTCTGTTTGAAACAAGATTGAGTGGTAGTGTTGATCGGTTTTATTTGTTTGCTCACCTCCAGAGAAGCTAAGTTGGGTAAAATATTTGCCAGCTAAACTAATTTAAATGTTAATTTCAGATGTTTTAATGCCTCATTTTCAGTTTCTGAACAATGAGTCTGAGGCAGACAGACTAATGTGAAGTTTTCAGGACAACGTGAGGTAGTGGTCATTTTTCATCCTGTTTACTCTTTTTTTATCACTTGAACGTCAGGGTAGGTGTCCACCAGTTTATGCTGAAAATAACTGAATGTTTTTTTTTATAGTTATTCAGGCAGTCAGAAAAAAAAGACATTGGATTAAGACCGTTCTCGACAAAAGTCTAACAAATATTGCATAAAGAAATCGCGCACCCCAAATTAAACTGAATGCGCCTGTGTTCGTTCAGTTACGGTAACAATGGTGCGCCATCGATGTGTGGAGTTTGTTTGATCATGACTTTTTGTTATTTTTGTTTCGGCCAGTGGTAAGTAGTAGCGATCAAACGCCTCATGTATGCCAGAGGCAGTCAGGTGGTAGTAGGGGTGACCTTTAACTTTAAGAAGCTCTGTGTAAAGGCGTACTCTCTCGTAGGGAGGTATCGCCCGTTGTGCGCATCCATGTGTTTTAAGGCGATTGTAATGCAGATGCTGTCGATATCGAGGAGCACAGGCCGGTGAGGCGAGGAGCTGCAGCGATCGTGATAAGAGTCGGGCTGTGACACCGCGACAGATAGGCGCTGGAGCAACTGACAAAAAGTTACAATGAAACGTAACTTCACAACCGCGGAGAGAAGGGGGAACTGAAGCCAGGGCAATTTCGTTCTCGTAGCATGAAGGTGTGCCGTGTGCGCGTTGGATGATCGCTGTTTTAATGAAATCCATTCGCAGTCCGTAGGCTGCGTTTAAAAAAAAAAAATATGAGCGCCCGGATTGTGACTCGGGGATATAAACGTGGTGTAATGGACCTGGCGATCAGAACCCGAGTGATGTTGCCAGGGACGAGGTACATCGCTGCCGCCCCATTTAGGTGCTCGGCTACCGACGGCACATGGCGGCTGGGCTGGTGTCAACCCCGAGGAAGCGGACCCCTGGGCAGGCTCGGCGGCGGCGGATCAGCGCTCCCTGGACCCGCAGCCCGGCCGCTGTCCTCCCTGATCAGCCGCGCCGCCTCCTCTCCTCTGGCCGGTCACCTGTGGGGTGCCTCCCCCCGGAGCCCCTGGAGAACTCCCGGGAGGTCAAAGAGCTACAGCGGCTCGCCTGCTCCCAAGCAGGAGGCGGCCGCCCCCGTAGTGCACACGGACGGGAAGGCCGATGTGGCGGCCGCGGTGCCGGACGAGAAGCGCGACCGGCAGCTTGCAGAGGACGGGAGACGGCTGTTGCAGCTGGCTTACCCAGAGCGATGGCGCCTGGCTGGTATGGGGGTCCTAGTGCCCGATTCGCCGTTGATCGTGTTGGGGTTAATCGCCGGGGTGCTTTAGACCTACTCCCCCTGTCCGCTGGGATACTGCCGTGAGCTGCGGTTCACTTAGCGTTGGCAGACTTTCCAAATGAAGTGGTTGGTCAGCGTGGTGTATGTGAAGGAACTCGAGAGGGTATATTAGAAAACCCACTGCTGGGTGTTAATTCATCTAGGGAGCAGAAATGGATAAATGACGTCCCCGTGCGACAAGGTAAAACGTCTCTAGAGAAAACAGTCCCAGTCACTGAAAATAACGACGTGACAAAAATGCCTTCACCTTATTTTTATAGAAAATTCAAAGGTTTTATTTTTTTCTTTTCCTGTCCCGACATTTCTCACAGAGGGGCGACTAAAGTTTGCCCAGCAGGGAAGATAAGGCAGTAATGGAGGGCAGAGGAAGGGTTAACAATTGAATGGTAGTTAAAATAGTTAATAATGCCCCGGTGCTGTGAGATTACTTGGCTTGAGGTGCCCTGACGTAACATCTGGACGGGCAGCTGGAAGAGCGTTTGGAACCGTCCTGATAGTCTCTCTTTCTCTCTCTCCTCCGCCTTCAGCGGCCATGGGGTTCCTGGCGGTTTCCAGCACGGTGACCATGTCGGCTCCCTTCTTCCTGGGCAGAGTGATTGACACGATCTACGCCAGCCCGGCCCAGGAGCTGGGCGCGTCTCTGACCTCCCTGTGCGCCGTGCTCTCGGGGGTGTTCCTCTGCGGGGCCGCGGCCAATGCGGCTCGGGTCTACCTCATGCAAACCTCAGGTACCGGTCCGGGCAGGGCGTTCCGCTCTGCACGTACCTCGATCCTGCCGGGGGTCTTGGTTTGTGAGCGTATTCCTAAACCTTTTTGTCGTGTTCATTCTTCTCCCCCCATTTTTTTTTTTGGAAGACACAAACCCCAAATGTTTTCTAACTCCAAATGTTACAAAATATATTAGTTAATATATATTAGTTATAGTTAAAAGAACACCTGTTTTTTTTTTTGCTCACCCTTAAATTTGAATCCTTGAAGACCGGTGTCAGTTCCCAACTTTTTGTGTTGATGTACTGTAATGCAAGAAAAGGTGTTAACTCTGGGTGGATTGTCCCATTCTGGTTAAAAGAAGGTACTCAGAAGTACAGCAGATTGAGCTGGTATACAAAAAACATACAGATGACATTACAAATTTGTTAAGAAAACCAATGTAGTGAGTTAATCTCAGTATAGCCTAAGGATTTTGAATTAATCCTCACATGAATTCTCTTTTGACTTTTGAAGGCTTTATTTCATGTGTAACCTAAGTAGAACAAAACAGAGCCTTTATTGCACACTGAGTCAAGATGTCTGCTAACAGGACAAGCTTCTTGCACATGGATGCCAAGTCCAATGTATGCCCAGAAAATTGAAATTTTATTTTTTGGATAAGTCACTTCAGAAGTTTTTTTGGGCTGGGGGAGTTACTTTGCAATTCTCCTGCCAAAAATATCCGCTGACCTTTCCCAAAACTGCAAGATTTTTTTGGGCACATTTCTATTTTCCGTCTCTTTGTTCACATTTAGTTTTTCACCCAGATCAGCCCCAATCCTGCAGGTTTTATAAGTCACCTTGCGTTCTAAATTCACCCAACAAGTATGTAAACCTAATCACGTCTAAAGATTGGAAACACTTCTAAGTTATTGATTAAGCAAGGAATTTGGTTGATTAAGAGCAGTGTAGGACTGAAGGTTTGTCTTCCTAATGATCTGAAAATTGTGTTAAATGAGTCATTCCACTGTGGACACTTCATGACTGTTTTTGAATCAATTGCTCATTTAATTGGTTCACACTGCCATTGTCTTCAGATCTAGTTATCTACAAAACCTGGAGGTCTGCAGGAGTGAAGATCACTGCTTTAGATTAGAAAATGGTGACCAATTGTGTAAAACATGCTGGATTGGGGCGATGTAGATGTCTAAATCTGCATTATCTCTTGCAGAATCTAAGAGATTAGGGCTCTGCAATGATTTTCTGAACCATTTAGTGCAAATTTCTCTCTCACCCAGATGTTGTTGTTGGGCTTTTGTTGCAATAAGTGTGTGTTTGCCCTTTGCAGTGACAAAAAGATGAAAGTGAAATATTTTGTCTGTGATAATTCTTTCAGGACAGCAGATTGTGAGAAATTTACGAGAATCCCTTTTTTCCTCAATTTTGAGGCAGGAGGTGGGCTTCTTCGACAAGACGCGCACCGGCGAGCTCGTTAACCGCCTCTCTGCGGACACCGCCCTCATCGGGCGCGCCGTCACTGACAACCTCTCGGACGGCCTCCGCGCTGTGGCTCAGGCCACAGCCGGGGTCGGCATGATGGTAAAGTGCTGACCAGGCCAGCGTGATAGGCGGCTTTCTCGAAAACTGCTCACCTGAGTGCAAGTCTCTGTTGGGGTGCGGACTCTAGATTTGAGAGTCGTAATCTGCACGATTAGATGCAGACTCTAGATTTGAGAGTCGGTAATCTGCACGATTAGATGCAGACTCTAGATTTGAGAGTCGGTAATCTGCACGATTGCATGCAGACTCTAGATTTGAGAGTCGGTAAACTGCACGATTATATGCAGACTCTAGATTTGAGAGTCGGTAAACTGCACGATTATATGCAGGCTCTAGATTTGAGAGTCGTTAAACTGCACGATTATATGCAGGCTCTAGATCTGAGAGCCACTAATCTGCAAGATTACATACAGACTCAAAATCCGAGAGTCAGTAATCCACAAGATTACAAGACGACGTTAGATTTGAGAATCGGTAATCTGCAGAGGTCTTAGCTCCGACTGAAAAGAGAGTTCATTTAATTCTCTAGGGAGTAAGTGTTGGATGATCCTGTTCATGACCATGGATAATGCATGTCTGTTTGACATTTTACTTCATGGAGCATAATTGATCATTTCACATTTTTCAAAATTTTAATTATTTCACATGATTTCCAAATATACACACATTTGATTATCGATGACTCTTGAAATGTAATGGTTTGTTTATATGCAGTAGTAATTTCTCACGGGCTGTTCTTCAATGTTTTCTTTATTCTTTTTCTCTCCTGCATCAGTTCTTTGTGTCGCCCAGCCTGGCAGCATTTGTGCTGATGATCATACCCCCGCTGGCTGCGCTGGCCGTCGTCTATGGGCGGTACCTGCGCTCACTGTCTCAGCGCACGCAGGACTCGCTTGCTGATGCCACTCAGGTAACAGCGGCACATGGGGTACAACTGTTCACAGCGTTGCACCAGTCCTGTGCTGTATTGTGAACCCCCTTGTACAGGTAGAGTGAAGAAATCTACAGGCTGTTTTAACAGGCGAGATGAGTCTTTGGTCAATCCCCAGAGACACTGTGCATCTCCCAGCTACCCTGTCCTGCCCGTCTGCTGTCCTCCTGCTCTGTGAGGCTAAGGAGGTCACAAGATGTGCATCAGTTGCACAGGCGTCGTTGTTTGGTCATTCCCTAGCTCATGAGAAAGGCTTTCCCTCTCCTCCCCTAGGAGTCCTGACCAGAGTACGGTATTGTGAGTTCAGGAGATGAGTGATTCTCCTCCCAGTCGGTAGCTCTTTGTGCCTGATTCTTGAATATCACCTTGGAAATCCAGACATACTTTGATCTCCTAGGGGAGGAAACTTTGTCTCAGTTCTCAGGCTTTCACTGGAGCTGTTTCAGTAGGGCCCTCGTGCCTTTGGACGAGCACACATGCCAGGGGTCAGGGGAGGAAAACTGGCCTCCCAGCCCGATGCCACGACCCTTGGATCAGGATGAAATGCTTGAGGTTTTCAAGAACAGTATGCGCAGGGTTCCACGTTTTTGCGGTTTAACATCGATGTACTTCCCTTTAAAAGGCCATAAACACTTCTTGTTCCTGCACTACATCTCAATGAGGTGAATAATAATAATTGCTTATACTTATATAGCGTTTTTTCTGGACACTCCACTCAAAGCGCTTTACAGGTAATGGGGATCCCCTCCACTACCACCAGTGTGCAGCCCCACCTGGGTGATAAGACGGCAGCCATAGTGCGCCAGAACGCTCCCCACACATCACCTCTCAGTGGGGAGGAGAGCAGAGTGATGAAGCCAGTTCAGAGATGGGGATTATAAGGAGGCCATGATTGGAGAAGTGAAACTTACTAATTGCTCTCTGAGAGTGAAGATGTATTTGTATCATCATTAATGTGAATTATTTAAGTAGCTCAGTTGTCGAACAGAACGCTGTCAGGTAATTGTTTTTGAGGGACGAGTGAGGTGAAACTTAGGTTGGGATGTTCAGTGAAAAGCTGCACAGGCCTTGTTTTCTAATGAGCCGTTTAAGCGTTTTTAACTGGGGGATAGAATCGGACAAACGCGGGTTTTAAAGGGACGTCATGTGACAAAAATAAACACCGCAAACGCATAGCACTGTGTATCTGTTGCAAGATCCGTCTCCTGAATAACAGGAGAGTTGAAATGGCCGCTCTGGCGAGAGCCCGTTTTTCTAATAAACCTTCGCCGCCCTGTCTCCGCAGCTCGCCGAAGAGCGGATCGGCAATTTAAGAACGGTGCGAGCGTTTGGGAAAGAGTTCGTGGAAGTGGACAAATACGTGGAAAAAATCAACTATGTCCTCCAGCTGGCCAGGAAGGAGGCCGTGGTTCGGGCTGGCTTCTTCGGGGCTGTGAGTACGAACGCCGGCGGCCGTGAGATGCTGATCTGAGAGGGAGGGCGTGCCCGGTTGGCTAAGCGTTGCCCGTTGCTCGCGGGAGAATCAGCGTTGAGAATGAATTCATCCGAGCTGTGGCCAAGACCCGGGAGGGTGTCGTCTCTCTCTCCGGGCCACTCGCTGTCTGTCTGATGTCACGTGCAGCTGCTGGAGAAATTCCGACTTCGCTCGCGTCGGGCTTTGGAGGAAGACTTTCTTCTAGCAGCTGTGAGTGGCATCTAGCAGGCAGTGGCTTCGGAGGCTTCTGTACAGATCACACTGACCTGCTGAGTGTCGGGGCTCTCGTCAGCCCCTGGTTGGCCTGTACCACCGTCTCTTTCAAACCTCTCTCCAAAACGCCAACTTCACGGGAGATCTGAGTGCTGCTCGTGTTCCTTGCAGACGGGGCTGAGTGGGAACCTGATCGTGCTCTCTGTGCTCTACAAGGGGGGCTTGCTGATGGCCAGTGAGCACATGACCGTTGGAGAGCTCTCCTCCTTCCTCATGTATGCCTTCTGGGTAGGGGTGAGCATTTCAGGTAGGAACCTTGGATTTGATTTGCCTGTACAGATTATCCCCTCCAGCGAATCAGAGTCCCATTCTCTGCTCGGTGGTCATGTCCTTCCTGTTTTAATCGGGACAAGCAAAAAAACATGACAGTTGACGGTTTTGCGTCTTTGAGCCAAATGTAGCAAGCCTTTCAAACCAAAGTCGATTGTGCACTTTTTGGTGTTTGCTGGCAGCCTCCACCCAAGTAGATACAGAAAACAAAGCCCCGAATCTCAGCGATGTTGTTAATGTGTCTTCTGCTTGGCAAATTTGTGAAGAGGATTTTCTGTTGTCTCAGACAAAATTTCTCTCTTTTCCTTTCAACAGTTATTTTGCATAAATTGTTAGGACAGCTCTGAGCTTACTGTATGAAGCAGAACCTTAAATGTGCTTTGCTATTGGGGGAGGTGGATCAAGCAGGGACATCTCAGGGTGGAGTACCAGCCACTGGCGCGATTCGTAGCTGAAAGGATGCTCTTGGTTTCACAGGTCTAAGCTCCTTTTACTCCGAGCTGATGAAGGGGTTTGGAGCTGGGGTGCGACTGTGGGAGCTGTTGGACCGGAAGCCTGAGTTTCCTCTCAATGGTGAGCCCCCGAATCTGTCAGGCACCTGTTCTTCATTCTTAATTGTGTAGTTCAACATAGAGAGCAGCCCACTCTGACATGAAGTCTAAAGAACAGAATGACATACTGTATGCACACTTGGTTGGAAGGGTGTCGTCTGGGTGAGGTCCTTTCCATGTTGGGAATTATTGGATGACTGCTTTCAGCCCCTGACATCATTCAGTGGTTATCAGATATCGTAGTTCCGTCTTTTTGACTGGTTACCAACTTGTGATTCTCATGCATAGCCCTTCGGATGTTAATGTAAAGCCTCATATTGGACACAACAGCCCCTGTCCGCCAAATGACCTCGGTTTATCTTCTTTTGTAACCCGCTGCTTTTCTCAATAATTAAAAAGAAAGAGTGCAACACACTATGTTTCCAGCAGCCCTGGGATGGGAGACCTCCGAGGGAAACTGGGTCGCTGCTGCAAGTGGTGATGGTGAACCAATAGGGGGCGCTCTTCCCCTGGGCTATATTCCCAATCCACTGCATTTGTACAGTGACTGGAGATATGAGGTCCTTGAAGATCCCAGGGTGCTGTTGTAACGTTAGAGGCGTTACCCCAGAGTCCTGACTCGATTCAGATCTGGGTCTGGCCTTCCTGAGGTTCCCCTGTAAATCAGTTGGTGGCTCAGCCTGTCAATTCTCTCCCTGATCGATCGGCTGTGCAGAGGGGCTGCTGTGTATCGCCCAGCTGGGTGCTGTACTTCGCTGCTGGGTGAAGCCAGTCCCTTGCTTTATGTAAAGCTCTAATCCCTTGAGATTAAATTGCGTACATTCAGGGAATTATGGGTTATTTTTTGTCTTTTTCAACCGCAGAAGGAATCGCGCTGAGGCCGGAGCAGCTGAAGGGGGAGCTGGAGTTCCGCGACGTGACGTTCTCGTACCCGACCCGCCAGGACGCGCCCGTCTTCCGCGGCCTCAGCCTGTCTGTGCCCGCCGGCTCGGTGATGGCGGTCGTGGGCCCCAGCGGCTCGGGGAAATCGACTCTGGTGTCGCTGCTGCTAAGACTCTACGATCCGGATTCCGGTGAGCCGTAGGCCCAGGAAATTGAGCAGGCCTCTTTCATTCTTGGTTTTTTTTTCTTTGGAATTATTATTTGGTGATTTTCGTCATTGATCTGTTTGTTGTTTAATTACACATACTCATACCAGCTCGTACCCAATGAGACAACATTGACATGTGAATTGAAACCAAGTTTGGGTGCATGCAGGGAGACATGGTGTTGTCACTAGCAATGCAACTGCTTCAAAGCCTCAGAGTCCTCGGTTTGATTCTGATCTCATACGCCTGTGTGTCTGGAGCCTGCATGTACACTCTTGTTTGCACGGGTTATCTCTGGGTCTGGATCTGCTCTGAACTGTCCCCTCCCCTGTCGACTGCTGACCCCTCCTGTCTGAGCACAGTCACCTGCAGTATCTCCCAGAGCTTCGATTCATCATGACCCTCGACTGGAGAAGTGGCGTTCTCACAATAGATGGACAAATTGCATATGCTTAATTGCAATTAAGAAAGTAGATTGAGTATTATGTCGTTGGCAAAACCCGACCACAAATTCCACAGTGAGCTGAAGAGTTTAGAATAGGAATTCAGTTTTTATCAAAAATGACTTGCTGCTGTACCGGACATGGAGCAGCATCGTTTTACCGTGCTCGCAGATCTGATGGGGAATCTGATGGATCCGTCTGTCCTGCAGGTGTAATTGCTGTCGATGGTTATGATATTCGGGATCTGAATCCATACTGCCTACGGAGCAACATTGGGACTGTGAGCCAGGTGAGTCCCCAGTAAAGCATCAGCTACAGATCCATCTTTTTTTTTTATTCCAAGCTTTTTGTTGGTTGCACGAGCACATTATTGTGATTATGTCATCTCCACTGTGAAGATTGAAAGTAGCACTGTTAATAATAATAATAGTAATTGCTTACACTTTATATAGCGCTTTTCTGGACACTCCACTCAAAGCGCTTTACAGGTAATGGGGATCCCCTCCACCGCCACCAGTGTGCAGCCCCACCTGGGTGATGCAACGGCAGCCATAGTGCGCCAGAACGCTCCCCACACATCAGCTATTAGTGGGGAGGATAGGTCAGTTAAGAGATGGGGATTATTAGGAGGCCATGATTGGTAAGAGCTAATGGGAAATTTGGCCAAGACACCTGGTTACACCCCTACTCTTTTCGAGAAACACCCTGGGATTTTTAATGACCACAGAGAGTCAGGGCCTCGGTTTTACGTCTCATCCGAAGGATGGTGCCCGTTTATGGTATAGTGTCCCCGTCTCTATACTGGGGCATTAGGACCCACATGGACTGCGGGGTGAGCACCCCCTGCTGGCTCCACTAACACCTCTTCCAGCAGCAACCTTAGTTTTTCCCAGGAGTCTCCCATCCAGGTACTGACCAGGCTCATACCTGCTGAGCTTCGGTGGGCGACCAGTTGTGAGTTGCAGAGTGAAATGGCTGCTGGAAAGTAGCACTGTTACTTGCAATCAGCTGGCTGACAGTGGTGTGTGTGCTATGATGAACAAATGGCCATCTTGACATGTCTCCTTCTGCTCCCCTTTCCTCACTGCTGTGCGTTATGAATCCGGTGTTTCTCACACATGGATCTTCTTAAAGACTCAGAAAGACTTTAGTCTCGTGATGCGCCGGCGCCTTTGCTCTCTGGTTCGGGCTTCCTCACGATCTTGTCCTGTGTGTCCTCCCTGTGCCCAGGAGCCCGTGCTCTTCTCCGGCTCCATCGCGGAGAACATCGCGTACGGCGCGCCGGACCCCTCCCGGGTCTCCGCCCAGGACATCCACAGGGCCGCCCAGATCGCCAACGCCCACGGCTTCGTGCAGCACTTCCCCAGGGGCTACGACACCATGGTGGGGGAGAAGGGGATCCTTCTGTCAGGTGAGGGTGGCCTCCAGGGAGAGCTTTCGTCAACAGAGAATGGCGAGCAGCTTTCACACATATGTCCATCTGTGCCTCCCAAGCCTATTCGAGAACATCTGTTGTTAACAGCAATAAAAGAAAAAGTACAACAAACTTCGTCCTTTTCTTTAGAATGTTTATGCACTGAACACATTTGCTAGAGTGTCTGACCACATGAAAATCAGTGGCTGTTCTATATAATCTGTTTAAAAATCCAATTAAATTCAAAATACTTTATTCATCTGCAGGGGGAGAGTTTAAGACAGATCTTTAAGAAGACCTGGGCTGTCACCCTTTTTTGAATCGCAAACAAAACGTAGCCACTAGGGGGAGGTTTGGCACGATTTTACTCCTTCGCTAGAGCTGAAGTGCAAAAAGTAGCCACCAGTGAGATTCGTGCGTTTTAATTGGCGGCCTCTGCGAATAACGGTGTGACCCAAGACACGTAGGATAAGAACTGGCATCACCCTCACAAGTCTGTATTAATGTATGATTCTTAATCTTTGACTTAATTAAAAGACTGTATTCATCTTTGAAAGCTGCCTTCATATCCCATTTATCAGAGAGTGCTGATGTTCAGTGCAAATCAATTGAGAAAGCACAGGATCTGATTGGGAAAGCATGTCATCAGATCTAATTGAATGTGTTTTTTTTAACTTGAAACAGGTGGTCAGAAACAAAGAATTGCAATTGCTCGAGCTGTGCTCAAGGTATTGTTTTAATACTAAACTCTTCTGTTTTTCCATAACCATGAACTCTCCAGTTTAGCGAGAGTGAATAGTGCCTTTCTCTGAATATGTTAATAACGTCTGATTTTTGTAGATTCGTTTTTATTATTTTGCACCTCACCATATGTCTAATTGCACAATAGCTCATATCACCAGCACGTTTAAAAAGAGATGAAACATATACTGTTTTGATAACATATTTTAGCTTCAGTATATATTTGGAGCTTTCCCTAAACCACAAAGCAAAACTAGCCTATATATGGTATCAAAGTTATTTAAAAAAATACAAAAAGGATAGTTTTGTGAATAACTCTAGGAAGTGGGATCTCATTTATTTATCTCATTTTTTTTATTCCGCAGAACCCCAAGATACTTCTACTTGATGAAGCCACCAGGTAAGATTTTAAAGATTTGATTTTTTGTGCTATTTTATAAAAGATTTGTTTCCTCGCAATGTTCCTTAGTCATTCTTTACCTGTTTTATCTATAAGAAGAGGATTTTATTCATTTATTCATCTGACACTTCTATGGAATGTACCTCGCTCAGGGGAAAAACAGCAGTGTTTTACCCTGGATTTGAGCCCACAGCCTTCACAGTACAAGACCTGAACCCTGCCCCTTGAAGAATTGACGTTTTACAGCGTCACAAGGATCTTTCAGAATGATCATTTAAGAGTCCCAGCGGGCCCTGCAGACGATGCCCTGCATGTTGTAGAAGTGCTGTAAAGAGAGTACAAAGAGTGTACTGTACTGACTTTCCCGGTGTGCGCCCTGTATTCCTGTCCCCCCCAGCGCTCTGGACGCAGAGAATGAGTTCCTGGTGCAGGAGGCCCTGGACCGGCTGATGCAGGGGCGCACGGTGCTGATCATCGCCCACAGGCTGTCCACCATCCAGAACGCCGACGCGGTGGCCGTCCTGGACCAGCGGCGCGTGGTGGAGTGCGGCCGGCACGAGGAGCTGCTGGCCAACAGGCAGGGCCTCTTCAGGAAGCTGGTGGAGAAGCAAGCGTTCCTGCAGAACAGCCAGAAGCACGTGGTGGTGGAGTAACGTCAGTGCAGGAGAGGGAGAACTTCTGTGGCCAGTGTGGTCAAAGCTCTCATCACAGGGAATCCAGATTGCAGCTCTTTGACTTAGGTATTTGTTTTTCTATCTGTTCTGCTGTCCCTTCAACTTTGAAAATGCCATATTGTGTTCTGAAGAAAATTGTCAATTAAAAATATACTGAACCCATTTTTACATCAAATCATAATTTTCCCTGTGAAACATTCAAGGATTTTAGTGTTTTGGCAGGCAAACATTCCTGTTTAGCACGCTGAATTTCAGTACACCAACATTAAGTTCTTTTATCAAGGATTGGTTGTAATTTTAGATATACTGCATGGTAAGACAATAAATTAAATCACAGAAACTGGTGTGGGCTTTTAAAAATAACTGCCACACATAAAGCACAAGATGTATTGGAGTATTATTGTGTTTCTTAATGTGTCACAATCTTAACTACTGCGAAGGCATGCCATAAGATACTACATAGCTCACGTTCTGAAACTGTGAGGTTTATCATTTAATATGTGCGTGTGTATTTAGATTTTCTAAATTAAGGATAAGCAAACTGTAAATGAAACAAACACGATATCATGGTATATATAGGGTACAGTCCTGTTTAGGGAATGTTATTTGTTTACAGCTTCTATGTATTGATTGGCATTTGTACCATAGTTATGGTTCTGTAATGATATTGTTCATTTTTATTTTTGGAGTGTTTTGTACTTTATGTGCAGTTTTTCGTTTGTTTAAAATATTTCAGAAGACACTTGATATTCATGATGTAAGTACCATACAGTTCAATGAGGAACGAACCCAGACTTGTTGTATTGGGTCATGTGAGTGAGAGCAGACTGACGGGAGGTCCTGAGCTCTTCTGGATCCTGACTCAAGCTTATAAACAGCAGAGGCGGGGGCTGGAGCAATACTGCATCACTAGCAGAATCAAGTCAAACCAGGACTGCGAAGCTTCCCTTCTGGCAAAGAGCCAAACCAGAAATGAGATCCTGAAGGGATTGTTAGCAGTTTCTTTCATTTTGTTATTGTTTATTCTCTTTTAAGGCTGTTTCAATAACATTAAATTGTTTCTCTAATTTATTTTGTCAGTTATAATAATAATAATAATAAATAATAATAATTGCTTACACTTATATAGCGCTTTTCTGGACACTCCTGTAGCGGCAATGCTTGTTAATAAGACAGAATTAAGCGTTGGTATGCTGTCCTAAAGGAGGCCCCATCTCACCCTCCATCTCTGTGGTGCAGCCACAGAGAAA